CATGGACGAACTGGGCGTGAGAGGCTAGTTTTAGATTTTGCATTGGAGGTGGTTTTTTTGCGTCGACCAATCGCCGCGCATGCGCAAGGCGACGTGGACCACGCACGCGCGCGCGCGCGCACACACACACACACACACACACACACACACACACACACAAACCACCCCATTTTGGTGGATCAGATCATGACCAGAACAGAGCAGACGGCCCAGAAGGGGAACGGGACAAGCCTGGACTCTGGCGGTAGTTTTGATACCCCGGTTTCTCGTGTAGAATACAATGGGCACACTATTACCACCATCATTATCTCCTAACATGTCGCGAAGAAACCAACGGCTTCGAGAGAGGACAAGATCCCTTTCATCTTTGGCGACAGGGGGTGGACTTCTCTCGGCTGGCTGGTCTAGACAAGGACCACGTTCAAGATTTGACTCACTGCCACGACATCAACTGGCCAGGTCTCCATCAAGAAGAGCTGAATCATTGACGGTGAAGAGAACCCTGGCAATCTCATTTCCGTCAGAGTTTTCTTCCCAAAAGTTCACGGTTAGCCGTCTGAGCGTCCCCGGGCCAAGGGGTATAGCGAACGTAGATATCATGGGCGTGTAAGAGGGCCTACTCAGTATTTCAACGGGCGCTTAGACTAGTTTGTGTGTGTGTGTATGTGTGTCAGTCATAGCCTTACCAGGGGGAAGGGGGGTTCACGGCCACGTTGGACCTTTTTTTGTGTGATTTGGCCTGTTTTTTTCGCAACCGAAGGATGGGAAAATGGGTATTTGTGTGGACGGGACGAGGGTTTGGTCGATTTGGCGATGTGTCGGTGTGTGAGTTTGCATGGGCGGTGTTGAAGTTGGGTTGTTGTGATCCATGTCCCGGGGGACCCAGCCGGGCGGGCTGGCGGAGAGTATTTGCAAGGGGTGAATAAAATAAAATAAAACAACGAGATGTGGGCGGTCGTGGTTCACGACCCTTGGTTGACGCAGCGGTTTGGTGGAGTTTAGGCCGGGTGACCGGGGGGTGGAAGAAACGTGGGTTGTGGGTTTTGTTTGGCGGTTTACCTTGTCTTTGGGTTTTGGGGTCTCTGGGCCTCGAGACCGAGGGATGACGATGATGGGCCCGTGTGAAAGGGTTGCGGGATATGTGTTTCGTCGGGGTGGCTTGGTTGATGTGACGGCGAAGCAGGGGGACAGACCGACGACGTGGCCCCCATGGGCCCGTTTCTTCCCTTTACCGCTTCAACACCCCGGTCGACGATGTTTTCTGGAGGGGACTTGGGGGATGTCGAGGTTTTGCGAGGTAAGAGAAGCCTGCCGTCGGTAGGATGTGGTATGCCATCCACCTTGGGAGTTTGACAGCATGGACGGTGACGGGGGAGACTTGCAGCTGTGGTTGTGGACACTACGACGATCATGTGGTGGGGCGAGGGTGTGCAATATGCCTTGTTGCGGTTTTCAGTCCATCATCTTTGTCTGGCTGTGTGGTTGAGGATTGTCGTGGGGACGAGGGCGCGGACGGTATGTGGTAATGCGATGCGGTGCGGTGGGATGCGATGCACGGGGGTTGCGAAGCGGAAGGAACAGACGGCCGCAATTAGTCTCCGAGTCAACTAATGTCATCCCTTGGGGCTTGGACTTGCTGTGTCCGGGTTGGCCCGGGACTCGACTTGACTTGACGGGAAGAGAGGATGGGATGATTATATGCAGGACGTCAACTGCTTGGATACCTTCGTTTCTGAGGCGGGAATGTCTGAGAGGTGCAAACGTGGCGGGGGAGGGGGGACGGGACCCTTGTTGCTCAGACCTTGGACCGTTTGTCGACGCGGGTTTGGGACGAAGAGGTAGTTGGTTCCGAAGACGGGGATAGTCAGTCTTTGAGGGAACATCTAGTTGCGGTCGGGTTGCGTACTGTATACTGTCAGCCCCGTTTCAGTGGTGGGTTTTGACATCTGGGCCAACAATGTGGTTGTGTGGTTTGTGTGTGTGTGCGCATGTACGGATATGTGGTATGTGTATGTGTATGCGTGTGTACGGATAGTGTGTGTGTATGTATGTGTGTCGGTATCTTTTTGGTCAAAGTTGTGGGGACCAAGGTTGCGTTGCCTTCCAACATGGACTACGGAGTATCCGTACACCTCACACATCGGATGAGAAGGCAGATGGGCCAGTGGAAAAGGTTTGGATGCCCGTATGCAAATGCGCAACAGCAACAACAATAACACTAGGAATGGTGGGGGGGGGGCTCATATGATTCGTTCGGTTGATGTTCCCATACCTTCCCCAAAAGTCACGGCTGTACGTAGTGGCGACCTGGGATTTGGTCCGGCGCAGGCGGATTGCGCAACCGACCTTACTGGTCAATGGGGCAGGTTGCGATGTACACTACTACGTAGACACACCGACGAAGCGTAGTACGGATACAGGATGGAGAATGCAGGCCATGGTTGTGGATCTCGCCTAAGGACCGAAATAAAGAGTCATCATCGCACCAGCCGAGCCAGTGACGCTAGTGCAATAGGCCATGTGCGGCAGGTCAACACCCTTGAACCGGCTCTGCCTCTTTTTATTTTTATTTTTTTATTTTCTACCTTTGTGCCGGGACTCGGTCCACATACCTACATAGCTAGCTATCTACTTACCTGGGTACTTGGATGACCTGCTGTACTCCGTACGTTCGCCAAGGCGACATGTACGTCTACGCGAGGGGATCTGCGAAAACGGGTGGATGGATGATTTAGTTTGTAGGCTACGGATTGAACGGACTGCCTGTCCGGTTGTTATCGTGGGCAAGACGGAGGCGAGAAGTGACGGTGAGAGAAGATGGGCGCAAGCGACCATCCAGCTCCATCATACTATACATAACCTTCCTGGATAGGCTAGGAGGGAGAGGTTTCTATCTACGAGCGTCGCTGCAAATGCCGAACAACATGGGTATCTCCCACGACGACGACGACGAGATTTTCCAAAAAAGCCAAGTCTAGGACGACAAGCGAGCCATGTTAGCGGACCTTTTTTTCCCCAGCAGAGTTGCTTGAACTTCATGCTGGTAGGTTCCCTCCGGCTCAGCAGCCAAGCAAGAAGACCAGGGAGGTGTTTTCCCTGTCTTGTCCAGCGCAGTGCGGATCGTCCATGGGATGCCATGCCATCGCCTCTCCCCCCCCCGGGCCAAGTCTACACTAGTCGTGGGCCGTGGGCAGCGCTTAAGACTCGGAGACTGGAGTCCACGAAATGACTGGTCGTCGACGATAGACGCGCTCCCGTCGGCACCCGGAGCCCATGTCGCGTGGATTTCGCGTTTCGGGCGAATTAGGTGTCGAGGGATGACCAGCCTTGAGGATTCTGGGCCAATGGGGCGTCGTGTTTACCTTGGTTTGACGTCCCCGGCGCGCTGGTGGATATGTCTGTGGGGAAACCGGGCAGGAAGGGGATCCACTGAATCGCTGTGCTGGGTAGGGTACGCTTATCGATAGCGCTTCTCCCGCACCAGCACAAGCACGGCTGCACGGGTACGGGTTCACCTTACCTTACCTTACCTGGGCTACCTACTCTTGGACTTTCTGCAGATCCCGGCACTCGTGGGCAGACAAGACGAGGCAGGGCAGACTGCATGCCACTCTTTTCCCTGCAGAGTCCCGCAGCAGACGGGCCAGACGGTCTCACCCACCAGAGGCCCTCGACCACTGGGACCACTTGAAACAAAACTTCTTGGCCGCCGTTGAGGGAAGGGGGCGTGCCTTCCTGCGTCTAGCTGCAGCGCTAGGTACTGCATCTCCCACGACCTTTGGACTCTTTCCTTCCTCTATCCGTACTAGGTATCCGTACCTACCTGCTATGCAGTATGGACCAACCACGACCCCCCGACACGTCGTCAACTCGTCCTGTTCTGTACACGCCGTGGGACGCATCGGGGGGGTGGTCAGTGATGCTCGACGTGTGTGGACGTGTGGGCGTGTGAGGCTCGCGTGGCCAACAGCCCTCCCCGTCCAGTCCTTTTTGTCGATTCCCCGTCCTGGGACGTACTAGGACGTGTTTGCCCCCCAGCAGACAGCCAGAAAGTGGCCATCCCGCGCTCGCGCTTTTCCCTGGGCTCATTTTTTTTTTGGTATTGTATTTGCTGCTGAAGTCTGTCCCCATGGAACCCGTGGACTTACACTTCCACGCTAGTCTTGCATATGCAGGTCTCGACAGACATGACTCACCCGCCAGTCGTTCCCACCGACGAGCGACGGGACGATGCGGGTAAGGGGGGGCTGGTCGCTCAGCTTTTTTCTCTTCCGCCTCTTGTCTTGAGCGTGGCTGTTCTGTATCCATTTTCGCGCGACGCAGGAAAGAAGAGAGGGAAAAAACTGGGTTCGATCGAGCCTTGTCTGTGGCCCCCCGGCCGAATCAGTCCCCTCTCTCTCATCCGAGTCTCTAAGAGGAAACAGTATATATCCTGCCACTTTCTCCTCTGCCCTCCCCTTTCTTGTTGGCCTAATTTTTAAGATCTGCTTTTCCCTATCTTTGCTTGTATCTATTTTCCTAGGAGGCAACTGGAACCCTCTTTGTTGTACCAAAGCTCTTTTGTTTTATACCCGACTGGTATCTCATCCCAGTCTCACATTATCATCGAACCCGAATCTGGTTGAGCGAGAAGAACGAGTTGTGGATACCCCTCACTCGAACATTGACGAAGGAACCTAGTTCATAAGAAAGAAAGAAAGAGAGAGAGAGAGAGAAACCCAAGAAACCAAGCAAGGACGCAAGGAAGAAAGAAAGAAAACCATCTTCATAGTTCTTCCTCTATCCCGGGAACCCCGTCGTTCTTCATTTCTGAAATCGATCCTCCAACCCAACCCCGCCCATCTATCTGATAACCACTTACACCATTTTGATCAATACACCAAGTCCGGCAACGACAGCCCGACTTTGGAGATAACGATAAGAAATCAACAAGCCCATCATCATTGAATCCTCGACAACAGCCACCCAGAGCCTGCGTCCCGCAACGACATGAGAAGGCCATGGCAGCGCTCCCAACCCCGTTCTACTGCCTCTGGCAGAAGGAACACTCGTCCTTAGGCTCCAAGGTCCTCGACCTCCTCCCAAAGCGCGACCTCGCCTCCCTCCGCCTCGCCAACTCCGCCTGCTGCAACATCGCCACGAAACCCCTCTTCAAGCGCATCCGCGTCACCTTCTCCGCAAACACCTTCACCAAGCAGTCCCGTATCCAGGCCCTCGCCCGCGTCGGCCACCACGTCGAGCACCTGCACTTCCACTTTGCCCACTCTGAGGCCACCTTCCTCCCGCCCCTCGTCCACCCCATCACCGGCCGCGAGATCTGCTTCCTCTACACACCACACACGAGCATGGCCTCGGTCCTGGCCCGGCCAAAGTACGCCAACACAGAGCTCGGCGAGATCCTGACCCAGCAGTACCCGCCCCTCTTCCACGCCGCCACCAACGTCCCAAGCTTCATCAACGCCATGCGCTACCTCGTCAACATCCGCCACCTGACCATTCGCTGCCCGGGCCAGGACCCGCAGGAGCGCTACCGCCGCGACATCGTCGACTATGCCATCATGAGCCTGCGCATCGCCGTCGAGCGCGCGCCCCTCGAGCGCCTCGAGAAGCTCTCCCTCTCCGGCATGCACCCCTCGGCCTTCAACTACCTCCGCCACGTCCCCGGCTTCGGCGCCGTGCCCTCGGCGGGCCGCCGCTGGAAGCAGATCCGCAAGCTCAACATCTCCGTCGAGGCCTGGGACTTCTATGGCCCCTCCCCCGGGCTCGACCACCTCAAGATCATAGACGACTACATCCGCCAGTTCTCCGGCACGCTCGAGAAGCTGCACTTCACCTGGCTGGGTCCCAAGGGGCCGTGCCCCATCGCCCTCGCCGCCGACCCGCTGTTCGCGCCACCAAGGCAGTGCAAGAAGCTCTTCAACGAGGTGACGTCGCCCATGTCGCCGCTGCCGCCCGCGCCGAGCCGTAAGCCCATGCACTTCCCGCGCCTGCGGTACATGCAAGTGCGCAACGCCACCATGACGGCTAGCCAGCTGTCGGATCTGGTCGACGCCCACCAGAAGACGGTCAAGGAGTACGACTTTGACAACGTCGTGCTCATCAACGGCGGCGACTGGGACGAGGCCCTGGCGCCGCTCATGGAGCCCGCCAGCGGCAGCAGCAGCGACATCTGGTCCCAGCACTCACGGACCAACTCCGAGGCCGATAGCCTCCACTCGGTCGAGGCGTCCCACGACGACGACCTCCCCTCGCCGTCCGCCGCGGCGGCCGCTGCCACTCGAGAACTACTCGACTTTGACCTCGGCAGTGAATTATACGTTGACGACGAGTACGACCCGTACGACCCGTACGAGGGCCTCGACGAGGATCTGGCATCAGACCTCGCGGCCGCCAAGGAGGCCAGCACCTCCTTCAGCACAATACTCAAGAAGAAGCGCGTCCATCGGCGCAGGAAGCACCGCAAGGACGACGGCGGTGGCGGGAAGGAGGGCTCCTCGTCACGGCATCACGGGAGCCGGAGCCACAGCCGCCACCGCAAGCACAGACACCACAGGGAACAGCCCCCCGTGCCCGAGGAGGACGACGTCTTCTTCCGCCCGTCGACCCCTGTACCCAACATCACGGCGCCCATCCAGGACATGTCCCCGCATCCCGTCCTGCTGCAGCCTGCCGTGTACGACCCCAGCGCGAACCGATACACGAGCCCGGAGGACGGTATTTCCTCGGTGCAACGGAACATCGAGCAAGAGGAGGCGCACCGCATGCTGGCCGAGGACGCGGCGATGCGGGTCAGCGCTCTGCGCAAGGCCAAGGCGGCGGTGCTGATGAAGCTGACCAAGGAGTTCACGCGCAAGGGCACTCCGGCGCCCGCGGCAGGGAGGGACAACTGCGGGCTGCAGATGCGGCTGAGGGAAGGGCTGTTTGGGAGGAGCTTTGTGAGTGTGTTACCCGACGACCGAACCATGTCGAGTCAGTCGGCAATAGTCCCGCTCATGGTGATGCGGTAGACAAGGATGGGTATGATGATAATGATGCTCTAACGACCCTATGTATCTGTTATGTTTGTCGGAAACGCGACGGCGCTGTGGGATCCTCCCTTGCATGGGACGGTAGGCAGGAAACAGACCGGGAAAGGTCTGCCGGAAACAAACGGTCTTGATATTATGACTGACGGCAAGGAACTGGGAGGGGTGGGCATTATGACTTTGTAATGACTTGACGACATGACAATGTGAAATTTTTTTCCTAGAGTGTTCGGAGGGAGGCCGGTTCCCATGGGTGATCCGAGTGCCCGGAGGGGAGACCAAAAAAAGAAAGAAAGAAATACAAATACAAACTCTAAACCGTTTCTTTCCAAGCTTTACCTTCTCCGTCAAAGACGTTTTCTCCGATGCCGTAAAAACGCGGGCGAGGCGCGCGTGACGGGGGACCGAGTTTGTGGGCGGGTGCGCGGCGCGACGTCGGCGAGGCCTTTGCGCGGGCGGGATGACCGGGGAAAAGGCCTGGACAGAATTGCGTGCAGTGTTCGGTGGGCACGGCCGGTGGCGCTCGACAGCGGGAAACACGCGCGCCTGGGTATTGCTGTTGTGCTGCTTTCGGAGACAAGCCATGTCCCTGCAGCGCAACATGCCGCTTTGGCGAGGTAGGTAAATCTCCCGGGGTTTGATAATGTCGGCAGACAGACAGACAGACAGACAGACTGAACTGCCGGTAAGGGGAAGGGGAGCGGACGACGCCGTGTTGATGAGTCTCGACAAACTCTTCGTGAAACCAGCGGGGGATGACATTTGTATACATTGGCCATGTCAAGCATGACCCCACGATGGGCGGAGGCTGAGGGACGTATCCAAGGCAATCCCTCTTAAGGTTGTACATGTGCACAATAATGTTTTGATACAGTCAGTCGGAAGCCCTGCTAAGACCTTAGACGAGCTGACTGACGCCTCCGCGATGAAAGCAAAAGAGGCAAAGCCTGGCCAGCGGCGATGATTTGGGATTAGACAAGAGTGTCAGCCTGGGTCTGAGCAAGCCACGGGAGCCGCTTTCGTCCGAGGCGTCCGTGGCGAGCACTCTTTCCCACATCGTAGCCTCATCTCCGGGGCGGGAGGGCCATATCTCTTGTCATATGGCAGCAGCGTGCCAGAGGGGGGATGAGTCCTGAGGCAGCACCAGGAGTGAAAACCATTGGCTCGTGTTACAATGGGGGGGGCGAGTGATGGTTGCATCGTCAAGGGAGCCCGGGGAACCAGGGGTGGAACGCTGGCCGGGCGAGCAGGGGTGAAGGGGCGAGGGGGGGAGGAGGTCGGAACATGGGATTTCGGCGCAAGTCGCTTCTGTCTGGGGGGAAAGCGGCCGCAAAGCGCGGACCACGACCAGCATCACCACGCTGTGGGCTGCGACGTGAGATTAAGAGAGGAAAAGCAGAGGGGATCCCTCGATGACCCGCCGAAATGAGATCGCTGGCGGGTTCCTCGAGCGTCCACTGCATACTGTAAAGGTGGGAGGGAGTGCCTTGGCTGCATACATACGGTATTCAGTGGATCGTGGAATTATTAATGCAAGAGAGCATGGGATGTTGCCTTCCCCGACAACATGCACATAACAGCAGCCACGGCCATCGGTGAGGGTGAAAGAGAGATTGTGGATGACGAGTGAGTGGTTGAGTGAGTACATCGTAAGTGAGTAAGTGAGTGAGTGAGTGTTCGGGTGATGGATGAGTGAGTGAGAACCGTTAGAACCATCGTGCGCAGCGGCGGCTCGTGTTGCAAAACGCCGCAAAAAGCTGCCAGAGCCGCGAATGCCATAGTCAGGGCCTAGACTGGCTGTAGACCTCTCGACTTTATCGGTCGGGACACGGACTCCCATTCCTCGCCCCAAAGAGCCACAGCCCACAGGGAACCGGGGAGCCTATCAGATGTCGGCGTCTGGACGAATTGAATTCACGGCTACGCTGATCGCTGATCTGTCTCCGGGAGACTGGCGAGGGACTTGTGAGGGACTTGCGAGGGACTCTGGGGGGGGGGGGCCTTTACTTCTCTTCTTTCCTTTCCATGTCCTTCTGATACCCGCTCCGGGCAACCAACCACTTCTACAACCATTCAAAACATGCAACGCGTTTTCGCCTTAGCCAATCCGTACACCGAACGGCTCTGGCTTCTCGATTTCCAAGACCCCTCAAGCCGTCCGCCCCAAGCGTCAGTAGACCACTTCTTCCCCCCTTCAGTCTGGGCGACTTGGCGATCTCGCGGGGAAACTCGTGGAATAGAAGGGGGCCGCTCTCTCATCCTATTATTCTACGACCTTTGTGTACCTGTCTATACCCTTCCACCTACGTATGGTTTGGGGGGGCCTCAGCAACACATACCTACGTAGTCGGTCCCTAGGCTAGCATCGCATTCCGCCCCTCGCCATATCATCTCTCCCGTCCGCGGCTGACAACGTAGGTTTCCCAGCCCAGTTGGAGGGCTTAGCAAGCCCGTTATTCACCGAGCTTCGCCCTTGCGAGACGCTATCCCGGTAGCGTCTTCCACACGTGTGGTACTTGGCGTTCGCTAGCGTAGCAAACCAAGAAACGGGCGAGCTCTGGGAGCGTCCTTGCGTACATGCATCCCCTGAGCAGACGGGAAGACGGCCTCGCAGTGTGCATAGCCCAGCTAAGGCAAGTAAGGCAGCGCAAGCTCGAGCGATGCCGTAACTATATTCGTATGTAGTTCTCGTAGCCGCTTCCATCATACCGAGCGACAGGAGTCCAAGTGTCACTCCTGACACGACGTGCCATTCAGCCGTGATGGCCGCATCCTCCTTGCCCTTGCAGAGGGGACCTTGACCGTCTCGTCTCGTCTTTGCCGTTAGGTGATGGCGGTGGTTGTCGTGTCTTGGTAATCTCACGAGGCCGCTCCGTCCACTCCGTTCGTGGATGAATCCCCGCCGAGGAGGCAAAGGACAGAGGTACCTGATTCGCCATGTTCGACATGAGAAGGGCCATGTATCCTGCACTACGTGTTTTTCTTTTCTCAATGGCGCTAGTCCGAAGCGAGGTAAAAGCTGCGTACCTCGCAAGTACTGCCGTAGCAGCAACCTACCCTGGGCCTGGTTCATAGTGGCCCAGCATCCCAGCTCCTCCCGTAGCTCCACCCTCGGCCGCTGGCCATCTTCTTTCTGGCTCGCCCTTCTCAGCCCATCCCATTCCACTCAGTCATTCTCTCCAACCGACAACCAAGACATTCCCTCGCACGCAGCTCAAACCCCTTCCTCTTGTGACGAATTCGCAAAATCAACTTTTCGTGTTGCGTCCTCCACCTTCATTTCGACTGCTGGAGCATTTTGGCCCCCCCCCCCCCCCCCCCTTCGCCGGCCCTTCCACTCACCGGAACACCAACGACGTTGGCCTTTTGCCTACTCCCCCCCTGCTCCTGCTTCTGTGAACAACCAAGAAAAAAGGGAACTGGGTTTTTGGGGAGACTGCGGGTACCATCTCGACACAAATCGCCGCGATCGTCGGTCGTGCAGTTCACTTTCGAGCAACCTCGTGCCAAGCAATTCAAAGACTTGTGTTTTGCGATTCTCTCACTTGACAACACATCATCGCGCTAGTTAACAAGAAGTTCCGGGACACGCCGCTGCAGACGATGAAGCCCGCCCAGACACTGCCAGACCCGCCTTTATAGTCTGTTCACCATGGGCGTCAGGATCGCCATTCGGGAACAGCTCGCCTTCCTTGTGGTGGTTGCTGTCCTTGTTGGCTTGATGATCCTGTCTGTTCCTGTCTGGATATACGTCAACAAGTTCGTCACCGAGGTCGAAGGACGTGAGCTCGCCCTCACTGCCTCGCTCAAGGCATCGCGCGTCTCTGCCGAGCTCGAACTCCTTCAGACCAGCATCATTACCATCTCGTCCCGAATTCTGATTCAAAACTCCCTGTTCAACTTCTACGAGGGAAACGACACGGAGGGGAATTGGGCCCAGGCCAAGGATGATCTCAACAGTGCTCTGAGTGTTGGCGGTCTCAATGGGTTGCTACAAGGGAGGATCTACTCGAGAAACACCACTGGCAACGTTCACGGTCTGCTCAATGTCACTGGGGAGAGAATCCCCCGTATTCCATTGCCATATGGTGGCTCCAATGGACAGCCGGCCTACCTCTCCGACACCCCTGAGGGCTACCTGACTGCCCTCTACCCAAACATCACCTATACGGACCTTGGACGTCCGAACCAGTACAGAAACACCACACAGGCCTTCTCTGCCTATGCCTTTCCCGGCGTTCGCATTACGGCAAACGGTGGCTTGTTGCTTGGCCCCGTGGTGATCAACGAGACAACCGCCCTCATGTCCATCACTGTTCCGATCCGCTATAACCTGCAGCCAGACTTCATACTAGGATATATGACACTCGTCGCCACGGCAAACTCTCTGATCGCTATCCGCAACTCCCGCGAAGGCTTGGGCGATACAGGTATAGTGCTGCTCGTCGGGCCCACAGATCAATCCAATAGGTTTCCCTCCAACCAAGCAGTCAGCAACGAAACGTATCTGCCGGAAAGTCACAAAATAGGTGGGGTGCCAGTGAAGTTTGTGCTACCGCCCAACCCCTTGCCCGGTCAAGGTGACCGTCACAGCGAACGAAGCTCGGCGAGCAGCCAAGACGATAAGCCATTCCCCATGAAGACATACCCGGCGGTTTTCGATTCTTTCGCCAAAAGATTCGCTTCCCCCAACAACTCAAGCTCCATGCTCTCAACGAAGAACGAACAGGGCCATCCGGTCGCCGTGGGTTTCGCTAGAACCAATACCGCCCTCGTCAACTGGACAGTCGTGGTAGAGCAGGACAAATCAGAGGCCGACGAGCCCATCGACACCTTACGGAACATCATATTGGGATGCGTCTTCGGCACCGCGGGTCTCATCATCATCCTTATATTCCCCTGTGCGCACCTCAGCGTGAAGCCAATTAGACGACTCAAGACGGCGACGGAGAGGTCGGTCCAGCCACCAGGCTACGAGGATGGTTACTATTCTGATTTAGACGACGGCGGGACTCCCTGCTCAGGCGGACAATCGTCTCGGTCAAAGCGGTCAAAAAAGGACGGGTTCATCGCAAGCATCTACCAGTTGGTGCGTTACAAGCATAGGGAGAAAGTTGCCTCCGACCACGACCGCGATTCAACCCGCCGCATCTTCAAAATCCCTGGCAAGGTTGAGAACCGCAAGCATTTGATCACCGACGAGCTCACCGAGCTGACAGAGACCTTCAACGACATGAGCGATGAGCTAGTTAAACAATACACCTCACTGGACCAGAAAGTCTTGGAACGGACAAGAGAGCTCGAGATCAGCAAGAAAGCGGCCGAGGCCGCCAACGAAAGCAAGACCCTCTTCATTGCTAACATATCCCACGAGCTCAAGACGCCACTTAACGGTATCCTTGGGATGTGCGCTGTTTGTATGGAGGAAAACGACATTCTGAGGATCAAGCAGTCTCTCAAGACGCTTTATAAATCAGGTAAGCCGAGATTGCTATATCCTTTCCTCTTGATGAAGCCAACAAGTTACAGGCGACCTGCTGCTTCATCTGCTTGAAGATCTCCTTAGCTTTTCCAAGAACCAGATTGGCCAGCAGCTCAACCTGGAGGAGAGGGAATTTCGCCTGGCCGACATCAAGTCGCAGATCCTGACCATCTTTGATAAGCAGGTCAAAGAGGGTCGGATCACACTAACTGTCAACTTTCTCGCCTCCGAAGCCATAGAACTTGGCAGCCCTGAGAGAACAAGCATGGACAACAGGCTGCCTGCCCTTGGCCCACACGGTACCGGCAGACTGAAGGACATGTGTCTCTGGGGCGACCAACACCGCATTCTCCAGGTCATCATCAACCTAGTGAGTAACAGTGTCAAGTTCACGCCGGCGGGTGGCAGGGTAGATGTCCGCATCAAGTGCATTGGTGAAGTGGAAACTCCGCCAGCGAACGACGGCAGCCGCTCTTCGTCGTTCTCCAAGGATTCCCGACGACACAGCCGGCCCCGGCACCGGCTTGGTTCCAACTCCAGCCAGTCTGTGATTTCAAAGGGAGGTTCAACTTCTGAGTCTCTTAAGGGCACTGCCTTGGTTATTAACCCGATGGAGCCCAAGTCGACACCGCACATCTACGTCCGGGAACGGTCTCCCACACCGCCGCCTCCCGGAGCAAAGGCGTATCTTTTCGAATTCGAGGTTGAAGATACCGGCCCGGGTATTGCTGAACACATGCAACAGAAAGTTTTTGAACCTTTTGTACAGGGCGACTTGGGATTAAGCAAGAAGTATGGCGGTACGGGTCTCGGCCTAAGTATCTGTCATCAGCTCGCAACCCTCATGGGAGGCTCCATTTCCCTGAAGAGCACCGTTGGGGTTGGCACGACTTTCACCATGCAGATTCCCCTGAAATACGTCAAGGACAAGTAAGTCTCCCTACCAGCAGGACAGAGGACAAAACGCTAACGTGGGCGTGTCACAGGGCATCAAGTACCGCCTCCAGCAGCGTCAATTCTCGAACTCCGAGTGTTGATGCCATCGACGCAATTGAGAGCACCCATAACTCGAAACGTAACTCTGGCGGAACACCCGTCAAACCGCCCATCAAGCCAACTAATGAGACCAATGCGAAGAATCTCTTGGATCAGCAGCCAAGGCTAGTCGGTCTCAGTCAGCCGTTTTTTGCATCCAACCCAGCACCGAAAGGGAAGCGAAACTCGAGAGATCAGATGGCAGCAATCGACAAGGCGATGGCCACCAAGGCCAATCCGGAGGTAAAACTACGAGTGCTTGTTGCCGACGACAACTCGACGAACATTGAGGTCGTCAGCAAGATGCTGAAGCTTGAAGAGGTCTACGACGTCACCATAGCCAAAGATGGTCAGGAGGCTTACGACCTTGTCAAAGCAAACATGGATGACAACAAGGGTTTCGATGTCATTTTCATGGACGTTCAGATGCCGAACCTCGACGGCCTCCAGTCCACGAAACTCATTCGCAAGATGGGCTACACGGCTCCCATTGTTGCATTGACGGCTTTCTCGGAAGAGAGCAACGTGAGGGAGTGCATGGAGAGCGGCATGAACGAGTTCCTCAGCAAGCCTATCCGACGCCCAGCATTGAAGCAGGTTCTCAAGAAGTTTGCCACGATCCCGGAAGAGCCCGAAACGACGAGTCTGACGAGAAAGACGATACCGGAGCGAGCCGCGTCCGAGAAACCAAAAGCAGCCAATGGCGGTACCGCCCCGGAGTTGAACGAGAAGGGGGATGCGATCCACCCAAACGGGAACGGAAACGGGAACGCAATCGCGTCGGCATCCGAGCAACCTCTGTCAGAAAAGGGGGCATAGTTGACGTTTGATGACTTGTTAGAAGTGGGAAGGACCCCCTCCCCCCCCCTTTTTTTTTTCTTCCTTTTTTTCTTTCTCGTCTTTTCGTTTTGAGATGCGTTACTACACATTGGATTCCCCCTTTTCTTTCGTCTGCGAAGTACAAAAGTTGGCGTAAGGGCGTATCACAGTTTTGCTATTTCTTCTCTTCTCTTCTCTTTTCATTTCATTTCCTAATCTCCCTTGGTCGTCTACTGTATTCGTAATGAATCCCGCCCAGACTGGGATCGCACTGATTTAGGCTTTCCTTGCAAGTCGGGCCTGGGCATATGACAACATTCTGTTACTTCTGGGAGCGAAAACGGGCTTGGGTGGTAACATTTGCAGCGAAGCAAGCCGAAAGACGGACGAGGAGGAGCCACGCAGGTGGGCATGGTGTCTTGCTGCTCAAGGTTGAACAGTGAAGGGGTATTGTAGTTCAAAGGTTGCGGGGGGCAACGCGGGACCTGTCCCTTCGGAGACAGGCACGAAGCAAGAAGGCGAGAGCAATCAAGTGTGGACATAAGTTGGTTTGAATTTTCTTTTTATGCAGGGCGGGCAGCAAGCGGCGTTCCGGGCGTACACGAAAAAAAAATACCCGGACATGAGATGAGTGTCATTCCCCCTCGATCATTCACACGAGATCGGGACGGGGAAGGGATTGGCAATGGGACGAACGAGGCTGGAAACCGGGACGGAAAACCCCTCCTCCCCCCAAGAGCTCTGTATGAGAGAACAACACACTCGATAGTCTGGAAGGAGGAAGGGAAAATATTGAACAGGGATTATAATGTCGAGTAGCTGATGAACGCATATATCAATTCATCATGCTTCTCCCGCCTCCCCGCGCCGCCATCAGGTCTCTCTTCGCTTCTCGTTTTCTGCGTACCCCACCTCACACGCTTGAGCAAGTCCTCCACTCCTCGGACGGTGCTCGTGGTCCTCCCCAATGGCCGACGAAGGCCTCGCCGCCCGTCAGTCGACGTGCTCAATAGGTTAAATGGAGGGGGGTTAGAGGGCTACCCAAGAATCCGCCAAGCCGGTGTTCGGGACCGACCCACGGTACGAGTTAATGGGGCCAGACCCCTCCCTCTCAGAACATCCCCACCCTCCCAACCCACACCCACAAACACACCTCCAGACCGTCGAACCCCGCTCCCGCGAGGCCAGCGCCCTTCTCCGCACTTTAGCCATCATCGGGCACACGAAGGAGTTAGTGTAGAGGTACGGGGAAACGGGAGACGGGTACCCCCGAAAGAGAGAGAGAGAGAGAGAGAGAGAGCGGGGGGGATCGTGGTCCGAGGCATGACCAGGAGGAGATATGCGAAGTCGCCCTCGGCCGGCGTCCAAGGCCAAGTTCTCGAACCCGGAAGACGGGAGAGAGGCCATGCCGGTATGACAAACCGGCACCTCGAGATATCAGAGATGCCCAGATTCCATTATTGAACATCATTTTAACACAGGGGAGGCTCGGGCGAACGCGTGTGATGGAAAAGGCCGTAAGAGTTCATCATTCAACACAGTACTCATCCAGAACCAGGCTGAAGGTACGGCTTTGTTGTGACTCGTTTTGTCACTGCGTACAGACCAGGAAAAGAGACAGGAAAAGCAAAAACATCACAAAAGGTTCCCCTTGGCATGTGTACCCCCCTCCCCCAGGAAACCCAACTCCAGCATATATGTCCAGATCCAAACGCGTCGCTGTCAGACGAGCGAATAAGGACTCTTGGAAACCCAGGGAAAAACTCCCGACGTTGTTCTGTTTCACAAACCACACCCCGCCCCAGGCCTTTTAATCCTGTTTGCCATCCAGGACCAATGTCCGCATGCACCGTACCCTAAAAACCCCTCCCGTGCTTCCGTTTCCCTGCCAGCGCCACCTGGCGAGAAAGCATGAGGGTATCGCTGCCATCGATCGAACAGACAGGAAAGAAAAAGGAAAGGAAAAAAAAAAGTAGGCAAACGCTCGTTGCCAGCGTACAGGTTCAACGACAACGGAAAGAAAAACCAAACTCAGCAGTACTCGAATAAAACTGAAGTAATTACTCGAACGTAAAAAAAGGAAAAATAAAAATAAATCGAATGACAATGGGCCGTTGAATGGTGCCCATGTCGTGGGAGCCGTGACAACCTCATCTGTGTGGAGTTGTTGTGTCTCAGCGGGTGTGGAGAGCTATCCTTACAAGCTCTGATAGGCGGTGTTGAATCAATGACTCCGTTTCGTCATAATGGCTCTGAAAACATGAGAGAAACGGGGAAGCATAAACAGGTCATGCGCCAGTGTGGAGTAGTCTTTAGATCTCCATGTGGGCCACGACGTCCTCGCTCATGCGCCGTACCGGACTCTTCGGGTCAGAGTCGGTCTCGTCGTCCTCCTCTTCGTCGTAGAAGAAGCGCTCTTCAGTGTAGTCGTCGTCGTCGGAAAACGGGACCAAGTCGCCGTCGGCACCTCGATTCCATAGGAAGCCGTCACTTTGCTCGTCGTCTTCGTCGGGTGCTACCAGTTCGGCGTCACGGTTACCGAGCCAGTACTTGGCGCGCTTGTTGGCACCCAGTGCGTCAAACTGGGCACTGCGCGTCCGCTTTACAGAACCGGAAAGCGCCGGTTGCAAGCGCGGTGATTGTGAAGAAACGACGGGAACGACTCGCACATAAAGATAGGCGACTCGCTTCAACGCGCGATTGAAGAAGAAGTAGTGAGCAGCCCAGATTGCAGACTCATCCTCTTCAAATGGGTCAACATCCGGGTTGTAGCTGAAGACGGTGCACTCGTTCAGGCGCATCTCCTTATCGATCTTGGACCAGCAGTGTGGGCCCCACACCGGCTTCGTCTCTGAAGACGTGGCCTGCTCGATTGGGTGAGCCTCAACATGCGGTCTGACATTCTGCAGGATCGAGTCTAGGTTTCCCATCACCCGCCGCAGGTTTCTCTCCTTTTTGAAGTCGCCTGGTCTCAGAACGTGTGAAAAGTCGTAGTGCTGATGGCTCGCGTTCAGGGTTGCGATCAGGTAGGCAAATGTGCGACGACTTGAAAGCTCCGACAAGGGACCAAACGCGCTCGAGTGCGAGAACATTTGCATGTTGGGGGACGTTGCCAGCATGGCTTCGCGGTCCGGCGGCGACAGGCTGGCGCCGAGCTTCAGCAGGGCGGCATGTTGTGAGCTCAGGTCCTTGTCGATGTTCTTAAATAATTTCTTGTCGGAGCCGGTCGACTTGGTCGTATACAGATCGCACCCGCCAGTGACGTTGCAATCGGGGGTGTTGAAGTTCAGAGCGCCAGTGACGGCGTCGAAGTCTTGCAGCGGTAGGTACTGCGAGCTGGGTTAGCAGGGTGTCGCGGGGTAGGGTGCGACGCATTGCTGCCTGCTGTGAACAGCAGAAGAAGCGCACCTTCATTTTGATAGGTCTGGGTCAGGTGTGGTAAAGAAGATGAGGTGAAGGTTTGAGGCGCAGGCATTCGTAGACTGTCGTAAAGTGGTTGACCAAACCAAGGGCGCTATGGCTAATGATCTGAGGGTTGCAGTGAGCTTATCGCCGGTATCGCGCTGCGATCAGGTTGTTGTGATGGAGCCGTCGGATTCCTTAGTACGAACGTGTCGGATGATGTCACAGGAGTTGGGCGTTGCGCCAGATTGACATAGGGGCGGGTGCGGGTATCGGAAAGGCGGTGACCCGGAGTCTGATATGTGGTGATTTGAAAATCAAAGACGCGATAAGGCGCAAGTGATGCGTCGCGAGAAGGATGGATGAAGTGAGAGGCTGCTGTCTGTGTTTCGATGGAAGCCGGGAGCCTGTGCCTGCTCTAGGTAAGGCAAGGAGCGACTCGACCCTGTAGATCAGTTCGGTTCGGATGGATGAACGGAGACTAGACGCGATGCGCCTAGTAGTTGATCTGGTCGACAGACATTACTGAAAAACGGATGGTGTCATGCGGGCGTATTGGGAAGTTGGACAATGATATGGATACGGGAGAGACGGAGGGGTAGAAGGAGAGAGGGATGGGGTGACGCCGTGAGTTTAAAGCGCGAAGCGGGAGCGAGCGAGCGGGAAGGGAGTCGGTGGCCGATGGTGGTGCTGTCCCAGAGCATACTCGCAGGTGCGATGCCGGTATGAGGTGACGACTTACTACCCTGGGGTACGTGGTTTGTGTGGTCTGGGTGCTGAGTGCTGCTACACCTTGGTCCTTGGTGCTATCGCTGCTGGCTTATGGGTCCTGGGTCTGCCGGTATGTTCCCCGTGTCCGCCTGACAAGGTCCCCGCTCCAGTCCCACGTAGAAGCTACCGGTTGAGGGTGGTCCAGTCTCAAGATAGGAACTGATAGTGAACGCGACCGACAGGGGGGCCTGTGACAAAGCGTATCTTGCTCGACACCCTGCGGCGTCCTTGGCACCGGATGCGCGGGGGACTGCTTTGGAAGTCAGGGACCAGCCCCTGTTCCCTTGCTGCTTGTTAGAAGGGGGGTCGCCCCCTTTTGTTCCGACTCCTCTCCTTTGGAGAGCTAACAGTGGGTCGTTCGTCAACTCTGTCGAGTCCACGCCGCATCCGGACGGGGGACAGACGGCAATCTCCAAGCGAATGAGGCGTCGTCAAAAGACCACGAGGGCTCGGAGTCCGTTTCGCGACATGCCTTCATACTGTCTCTGGCAACATGAAGAATTGGAGGTCCTTCTTTGTGATCATAAAGCTCGTCTATTTGTTAATTGTTACGGCTTTGCGTGGAGCGCATTGCTTCTCGAATGACGCCGCCAACCCCTGGCCCCGTGTCTGGCTTCTATGTCTTCTCTGGACGAAGCGGAAACCCGGAATCGACAGGTTTTGTGGATGCGACTGTGCAACCCGCACCGCCCTATGTTCTTCTCTTGATGTAGGAGAGGGTGGTTTTCCACCTTCCAAGATCTATGCACATAAAAGACCGCCTGGGCCACTCCTTTTGTATCCGCACAGGCGCGTGTTGTCTTCGTTGCGCATCAGCCGCTTGTTCTCCTGGCATATCATGCATCTGCCTGGTGCCCGTCACCGGCCAATTGGACTTTTTTTTTTTTTCAGAGAATACCGACTTTCTTGAGAGACGACGTGACCGCTTCCGTTTCCTGCATACGTGGTAGAGCGCCCATTAGCTAAAAACACTCGCCAAAGCCATGCCAAGCATGGCCAACGCAACACGTGTATGTAGGTTATGGATTCGGTTCGGGGCTTGTCGTTTCCGAGCATCACGTCGCAATCAAGTGGATAGGTACACATTGAAGCTGGGTTACATAATTTTGGTAACTTCGTCCTCGACCTGAAAGGGTTAGGGAAATATGGTCAGCCCAAGACTTGGCCCGTGGCGTGCATCTGCAATTGTTTGTCTGGAAGGCGGGTATATCAAACTGAAAACAAATGTGAGCCACACGTACCTCCATGTCTTCTAGCGAGTCCTGCTGTGATATACAGCGCAGGACATTCTTTTTACTGCTTTCTTGCAGTTCCCCGGCCAATAGTAGCTCGTCTAAAATATAATAGGCTTTTGTGAACGAGAAGATGATATCAAGCTCGCAGACGTTGCCGTAGTACTTGTCCATCTGCTCGACGTAGCGGTGGATGATTTCGAGGGTGATCAGCTCATTGTCTTCCGAGGCGGCGCCGGCGATGAAGAATAGTGAGGCATATCTGCGGTAAACAATCTTGGAATCTTCGTGAAACATGTCAGGCAATGCTCGGCTACGATACTGTCGGGCTCTGATGGTAACTGACCCTTGTACTCGAGGAAGTTGCACATGCGAGTTCTACGGGCGAGAACCAGCTGGGAGACGTCCTTGACAATCTTGGCCTTCTCCCTCGGCGACAGGGTGGTGAACCACTTCGCAAGGCGCTGTACGAACAATTTGTTAGTAATAGGTTCTTTAAAGGAGGTGTATGTATGAAGGGGAATAATGCGTACCACTTTGCCCTGGCGAGAAAGAAGAATGAGGTAGCTGTATCATGGGTTAGCTGTCTTGCTCGTATGCACCGACAAGAATGGCGAGGGGGAGCGAACGTACTGGATAGCCATGATGATGCTCTCACATCACCACAACGAGTTGTACGGAGGAAAGATTAAAGGTGAGACCGGACGAGCGTTGTGGACCTCAGACTGGTGCCGTGGGCTTGTGATCAAGCAGAGCAGACCGAGGTATGGACTGCGGTTGGCGACGAACTGCGGGATGTCGTGTGGTGATGCCCCTTTGTCACGTCAGGCTGGCAGGCTCAAGGTGTCCAGAATTGGTGGCAGGTGCGCTTCCCGCTGTGGTGTCCTCAGGCAGGCACCCGATTCACCTCACCTCACCTTACCTACTAATTGTGGAAACCTGTCGCATCTGCATCATCAGGCACCTGTTGACAGCGGGCTTGCAGAACGCCCTAGAGTAAACTCTAGGGCGTTTTTAACATGCTGACAAACCATGGGGACTGGCTTGTTTCGTTGTGCACAGGCCCCTGTGCAGAACAAAGCTTGTTCTTCAGTGGCTGGTTATCTTTGTCTGCCTCATATCCCCCAAGACGCTAAAGACACACACTGCTGGGCGGCCTGAGTCGAGTACCTAGCCGAGCAGAGACTCTTGCCAACAACGGCATGTCATAGGCCACAACCAGTGGGGGCTTTGGGGATTCACTCCTACGGGAAGCGCAGCCTACATACCTAGTACCTAGGTACAGAAAGCAAATCACTTCCTGGCTGGCGCGCTAGGCGACATACCCCACTGCACCGCTGACCTTCCCGGAGTTGCGCTCCTGCAGCGGGAATGGAGGGGTGGAAGGTGGGATGATGACAAAATGAGTGCCGCTACCACAACGAAAGGCTATGATTCTACTTGTGCCGCCTACTCCCACAGTCACACATTCTGTCACAGAGACGCGCTTGAATCGATCTTTTCTGACAGGTCCAAATTATTGAAAAAGGTACCAGTCAGCCTTCCGTAGCCTCTCCGCCATTTCCCTCCGTCTCCCTCTTCCGCTCTTTTCCTTCACCTCGACCAACAAAACGAAAGAAATACTCTATCCACCTTGGAGTTCCAGAACCGTTTCTCGTCCTTCTAGAACACAGCCCCCTCTTCGCCTGCACCTCACTGTTGCATAACAATTACCACTTCCCCAAGCCCTTTGGCTCCGTTTTAGGCTTTTCGATAAACGGTCTGGTATCCGCATGCTGTGCGACGCCTATTAATAATTACCCTGTCTCCCCTGTGAATCCCGAGCGGAGCGAACCCATCCTTATCGGCGCCGCCAAACTCGGATTGTTAATCAACCCCTCCAACAGACTTTGGGAAGAAAAAAAAATACTAGGTGCCAAACAGAGGGGGGTAAAGTGCTGAAGAAAGACGGAGACAGCCTCACAGCATTGCGCAATCAGAACTTCTGGCAACGCGATCTGATCCAGCCTACCGTGCCATCACGTCTGATATTTAGCCAACTTACCAGAAGTCGTCTTCCACCACCATAACCGCCGTCATGACGAAACTCATTCTTTCCACGGGGTTTGTACTGCCTTCACATTTTCCCTTGTTTTGTTTGCATAAATCCGACCCGCGCCCTGATGCTAATTGGTGATCCTCTGCCACGTACAGAAATATTGTCTCAGGCGGCCCCTCCATTATCCGTAAACCGGGTGCCTACAGATCAAACCTCGAACTTACCAACTCGCTGCGAAGCAACTTCCTCGCCGCCCAGCAAGACTACTCGTCCACCGATGAGTCCTCGCCTATCGACGACGAGCCCGTCAACGGAAATGGCACTCTGAATGGCCACTTGAATGGCTTCTCCCATCATTCCTCTGGTCGCACCGCCATCGACCTGTGGACCGCCCGTGAGAATGACATCCTCTACATCCCGCGCATAGACTGGTCCTACTCTGGCCTACAAGAGGAACCCGACAACTACGACATCACTGTGAAGCTGTTTTTCCTTCCCAACGCCCCCGCGCAGGACCGCGCGCAGTATGTTCAGGACGCCCTGAGCCTCGTGCGGAAGGAGTTGGGCGTCACGACGATAGACCTTCTTATCGCCTCCTTCCCCGGTATGTCGTTCGAGGGCGATTGCGAATGGGAGGCCGACACACGCAACGCCTCTCAGGGCAATATCGACGAAGAGGTTGCGACGTGGACGGTGCTGGAGGATCTGTACAAACGCGGCGAGGTCAAGGCCCTCGGCATTTCCGAGTTCGGCACGGAAAAGTTGGCCAAGTTTATCAAAAAGGTCAGCGTCCGCCCGGCCGTCGACCAGATCAACATCAAGGACTGTTGCAGCGTGCCCCCATCGCTGGCCAAGCTGGCCAAGACCGAGGGCGTTGAGCTGCTCGTTCACACCGACTGCACCGACATCCTTCCCCGCGGCACCCTCCGTGAGCTCCTTGGCCACGGCCTGCAGGGCGCTGGCGTCCTCGCCGACCCCGTCGAGGGCGAGGACGGTCTCGAGGGCGAGCTCACGCCGGAGTGGGTGGTCAAGTACACTGCGTTTGTTAAAGACCGGGGCGTCATCGAGAATAAGGGCTATTTTGCTGGCGCGGAGCTAGTTGAGACCTCGTAGGAGTGAATATTCCAGCTGTTGGATACATTTTTTCTTGATACCATGGGCTTGGATTATACAGCCTTCCTATAGGTACATACTGCATAGCGTTTCTAATGTCTGACGATTCAGGGTCTCTTGGACGGGTTTATACGAGGCTTCCCCTTTTGGTATCTATTAAGAGTCTCATTTCTCAAAGGCGTCCTTTTTCTTTCATTTCATTTTGCATAAATGCAGCTCCTTTGAGCTTCCGCTTCCACTGTGAATCGGCCTATTCCCTCAGCAGAGTCTCAGCGAGCCTCTTCCCCCTTTCGCCGCCGAGGTAAATGTCGTCGTCGACGCTCTCCAGGCCCATTTCGACTGCCTCCTTATACCCCCTGACCACCAGGTCCTCCTCGACTCTCAATCCGTTCTCCACCAGCGCCAGGATGACGCTGCGTATCCGCGCGATCTCGCGCATCGTCTCGGTGTCAATCCGATCGTTCTGGCTTGAGTAGACGTTGGCACTGACACTCTCCTCCATGCGGTTGAGCCCCACGCTCTCGGGCACGTCGCTCTCGACGTGCTTGCTGATCCAGATGAAGCCGTTAACGCCCAGTGTGACATGCACCTTGCTCGCGCCCCGCGCTGCGTCCATAACCCATTGCTGCCGTTTGGCCCGCACGACGCCGCCGCCGCCACCGGTGCCCGTGACGGCGACGAAGACGCCGTTGCGTAGCTTGCCGTACTTGAGGGAGCGCGTGTGCAGGCTAGCAGCGCCGTCCTGGTGCAGCTGCTGGACCTCGGCCACCACCAGGTCGCCCTCGGCGAAGAAGGACCGGATCTGCAACTCGTCCGTGTCGGTACGCTTGCGGAGGATGCCGCCAGGGAGGTTGATGGCCGAAATCTGGAGGATGGCGAGCTGCGAGGAGCCGACATCGACGCGCCAGCGCTTCGCTTGGACCTCAACGATGCGACCGACGACCAGGTCACCAATCTCGGGGGTGTAGCGGGCGCGGAGGGGGCGGACGGAGAGGAGCTTGTTGGTGCGGGTCACGGTGCCAGCGACGGAGGAGACGATGTCTGTCGTCGTGGGGGTGATGTAGGTGCCGTGGCCTCTGTCTCGTTTGTCAGTCTAGGCGAATCCTGTTGTGCAGCGCAAGCACGGAAGAGTTCATGGGTGAATGCCAAGAGAGTCGGCCAAGAGCAGAAGAGCGAACAAACCTCATCCACTGGGGGTCATCGGTGATGACCTCGCCCGGTGTGACAATCTCGTAGTTGTCGCCACGGGAGCGCTTCGCCGGGCGCATGGAAATGTCGCCTTCGATATCGACGCCGCCTTCAGAGTCCGAATCCGAGTCGGCGGCAGCGGCAAAGTGTGTGGGCTTGTGCTGTGACGGCGTGCCCCTCGGGGCAAGGATTGTGATGGGCATTTTTTTTTTCTTGTAGTAACGGCGACAAGGCCGTGGGATGGCGTGTCGGTGATGCCTCGAAGGTAATCTTTCTGTTCTCAGATTTTCTCGATATATTCGAAAGATCTGGCTCAGCTATCTTGGGGATTCAATCGTAGTGGTTGCTGTGTTCAGTGGTGGTTTGATGGTTTGGTGAGGTCTAGATTAACTGGGTGCAAAGAATTTTTGGTGAAGCTTTGGAGGGGCAGATTGGAGCTGGATGGATAGCGACACCGACATCTTCGAATTTGCGACTTCACAAGACCCTGAACATCAATACAAACAAGTCACAATGAAAAATGCTAAGACTAGCGTAAAGTATTTTGATTCATATTTTCGTTTTTAGTATGACAGTGTTATACAGCATTATTACAGCCCCATTCAGCCGTAACCATCGTTGATGAAAAACAACGGGAGCATCCCGTCTCAAATGATTCCCGTTGTGTGACGAGGTCTAGACTTGGCCAGTTACCAAATGTATCCCTCCAAGCTCTACAATAACAGTGGCGTAATCGTAGGCGTCGCTCGCTCCATAGCGAATTGTCAGAGACGGCGGCAGCCGTCCTGATGGCTCGTGGCATGGCTCTGTATTTTTGACGACCGCAGTGGTATAATCGTTTGAGTGGTGTTTATGTTGTTGTGATATGCCCTCCTTCCCTTAAGGTTCCGTTAACGGAACAACCTCCACAGTCCGAGGTAGGCCAGGCCCATCGAGATGCTAGCGATACCGAACTTGCGGCTTCTCATGCCGAACCTCGAGCCAGATTTGATGATCGCCGCACGTTGCCTTTCGAGGTGTCCCATGCCGGTCAGATAGTTATACGCTGCGAGACCGAGGAACGCACCGCCTCCTATACGTGAAAGAATCGCGATTAGTATCGTGGTAGCCTTCGAGCGCAGTGGGCAGCTTAGGGGTCCTCACCAACTACTCTGCAAGACGTGCAATCATCGCCGCGGTCCTCACGCAGGAGCTGGTCGAGGTTCTCGGGCTTGTCGAGGGTAGCCACGCTGGGAATCTTGTCGCCTCCTCCGATCATGGCGACACTTTTCAACGTCGAGCTTTTAAAGAAGGGTTGGATTGACTGGTGTGCTTTTTGTGACAGGATGCGACGCTTATGGCCTTCAAGTGCTGTATAGCCTTGAAGCTTTGTACCCGCGTTGCATCTGATTGGCTGACCTGGGCCGTCTCCCCTTGCAATAACATTTACGGATACTCCCATCATTGGCGGGCAGGAGCGGTGGCCCTCCAGCCGGTGTGGCCCCTCCAAAGGCTCGGGGAGCTCCAGCACCGACACTGACGTGCTGTCACCGACAGGAACCTCTTCCCCCCACCCACCCTGACGACTACGGCGTAGCCTCCAATGCCGAGTTGAACAATGAACGGCGTTATTGAGGCGCTGCATATTTATGATGAGCACAAGTTCGTTACATACATCGCAACACCCTAAACACTACTGACTGACACCGCGCAGCCATGCCATCCTGTCACACACGTACACCTCCCGCCCGCTGTCGGCGCAGCATCTCCTGCCCCTCTACCTAGAACACCCTGCGCCGCGGCCGAACCTGATCTACCTCCCGAACACGAACCCGCCGACACTCGTCTTCAGTCTCAACCACGCCAACCTTTTGTTCCTGGCGACCTCATCATCCGAGATCGAACCCCTCCTCGTCCTCGAGTTCATTCACCGCATCGTCGACGTCTTTGAGGAGTTCCTCGGCGCTCCCTTACTGGCGCACAAGATCGAGAGCAACTACGATGTCGTCGCGCAGCTTCTCAACGAGATGTGCGACGCCGGAACAATCAGCACGACAGAGCCGAACGCGCTAAGGGACTTGGTGGAGGTGGAGGGCTGGGTGGGCAAGCTGCTGGGTAGCATCAATTTGCCAGGGTAGGAGACACCGTGCCGCTAGGAGAAGATGCGACTGACGCACGACTGTAGGAAAAGCGGAAACTTTGGCACAGGCTTCGCCAACTCGAGCGCGCCGTCCTTGATCGCCCAGAATACCCCGGCGCTGCCCTGGCGCAGAGCCAACGTGCGGCATACATCCAACGAGATGTACGCAGACATCGTCGAGACCCTAACAGTCACTCTTGCGCCTTCAGGGAGACCATTGGCGGCGTTTGCAAACGGAACGATAGCCTTCACGTGTAAGGTGTCTGGCATGCCCGACATTGTCATGAACTTGACAAGTCCATCTGGCAAGCACAACTTGGCAGGCTTCATGGACCTCCCCGTGTTTCACCCGTGTGTACGTCTAGCACGGTGGAAGGAGAGGCCAGGCGAGCTCAGCTTCATACCGCCAGACGGTCGGTTCATCTTGGCCAGCTACGAGGTCGACCTTTTGCCATTCACGAACGGCAAGAGTGGTGGTTTGAGCTCGAATAACCTCAAACTACCTGTCAACATCGAGGTGAAGACAGGCCTAGGCCCTTTGGGCTCTGATTTCGAGGTTCGACTGCACGTGAACAGGGTGTTGGGGGGGAGCGGCCCATCAGCAGCAAGCCAGTACGGAAGAGGTGGCAGCGGGGCAGGACGAGGTTTCGCAGGACCGCACCCCGGTACCCCGTCATCGCCACTCATGGAGGATCTTGTGGTTACGGTACCTCTACCGGCAGAAGTTAGGAACTTGTCTGAGATACGGCCAAGCAAAGGAGACGCCAGCTTCAACCCCAGTGAACGGGTTCTTGAGTGGCACATCCCCACGAAGGAACTGTCTTCCGGCACGTCTTACTTCGGTCTTAGAAGCACCGCGGTGGGACAGCTGGCAGACGAGAATGAAGACGAGTTTGACCCCAATGGATTCGGGTTTGGGAAGGCATATGGCTACGACGAGCCGTACCAGAGCAGTCCAATTGAGACGAAGAAGATGACCGAGGCCGCAGACGAGGAGAAGGATGCGAAGAAGGTGGCGCAGAACAAGATGTTGATGCCGAGCTCAGCGTCGGTCAGCTTCTCGGTCAAGGGGTGGCTGCCAAGCGGGCTCAAAGTGGAAAGTATCATGATCGATCCGCGGAAGAGCAAAGGCTTGGGAGAGGGCGTGAAGCCATACAAGGGTGTCAAGTACCTGACAGTCAGTAAGGGCGGTGTAGAAACGCGGTGTTAGACAAGACACGGTACAGCAGATATAAAATAATGAAAAATATCTAAGCTGTCCGTCCTTGGGTATCGTTTGAGAGATTCACAAGATTCGCATGCTTACAGGAGCTTGGTTTCAACGGCTAGTGGGGGACTAGCGATGTCAGCATCTCGCGGCCTGCACAGGCTAGTGGACACCTCTTTAGGTACATGTCAAGGACGTGGCAGGCAAGCCACAGAAACAACACATTACTGAAAGCCGTGGACTGTGGGCCGTGGACCGTTGTCGAAGACACATGATGGGTGAGCCGAGGTGAGATTCGATCTTCAGCGGGCATGTCGGCGATTCAGCGGCAATTGGCCCTGCGTGCCCTGGTCCCTGAAGGAGATCCAATCCATCGCAGACCCCCAGCGCCCCACCCCCGGCGTAGCGGAACCGAAACGCACCTGTAAACAGCGCTGAAGAGCAGTTTACAATCGCGGGGTGACTCTATGCCCCCCAGCGATTGGAGTGTTCGATCTCTCGGCGTCGGAACATTCGGCTAGGAGCGGACACTAGAGGGTACCGCCATCGATTGGCGTCACCAGACGACTGATCTGGGTGTCATGTCCGCCAACAGTGCGCACCACGTTCTCTGTTCCCCTCCTTAACAACAAAAGGCATAATTAAGACACTGCCGCGCGCGGGCAGTGCATGAACTCTGCTGTGCGTGACGCATTTCCCACCCTCGAATTCGGCGCAATCCTGCAGGCTCCTCCTCCTGCTTTTGATTGTTTTCTATACCTGTTTCTAGAACTCCTGCGACTTCTCACCTTACCTATCTTAACGTTGAGAGGACAAGACATCCATGATTGCGATCATATAGCTGCCCCAGCTCGCAATCAGCTGGCGCTCTTTTCCCTCTAGGCTATGACCGCAGCTCCCGGAGTCCACCACGCCATCCGCCGAGGCGCGGTCGCGTGGGCCGATGGGCGCATCTACCTCGGTCGCACGCGGGCCGCAACGAGCAATGTATCTTTCGGATTGAGTCGACGACATGCTTCTTCGTCGTCGCAAGAGAAGCGGCCGCGGACGGCACTTTTCTTCCCAGGTTCGTGAAATCTGCAGCGCCGCCTTGGGTGGCGGGCGAGGAGGGAAATGCGGGGAGCTGACGTGTGTATAACACCCGTCGCAGGCCAAGGAGTGCAAAAAGTCGGCATGGTAACACCATGGCTTGAGGCCTTCCCGCGGACGGCAAAGCCCATAATCGAGGAGATTGACCACTGCATGGGCTTTAAGCTCTCCGATACCATCGCCGAGGGCCCCAGCAAGTTGCTGACCAAGACGCCCAACGCGCAACCGGCCATCATGGCGACCTCGATCCTGATCCTCCGCATCCTCGAGCGCGAGTTTAACTTTGACGTTGCCCAGCGCGTCGACGTCACGCTGGGCCACTCGCTCGGCGAATTCGCCGCGTTGGTGGCCGGCGGCTATCTCGAATTCGAGGACAGCCTGTACCTGGTGCGGAAGCGGGCCGAAGCCATGGCGGAGGCGACGCAGCGCGCCGTCAAGGAGCACGGCGGCGAGTATGGCATGGTGGCCATCGTTACGGAGCCGCAATACTTAAGCCCGCTGATCGCGGCGATCCACGACTTTGTGGGCCACTCGAGCGCCGGGTCCAAGGGTGACAGCTCCGAAGATGTGCCGCCTATTGAGCAGGTGCACATCGCCAATGTCAACAGCAAGAACCAGATTGTACTAAGCGGCAACATCGAACGTATAAAGACCCTGTCGACGCACGTGCGGCAGTTCCTCGGTCACGACCCCCGCGCTGTGAGGTTGAACAGCGATAGCCCTTTCCACAGCCCGCTCATGAAGCCCGCCGTCGGGGTGGTGAGGAACATCCTATCGAGAAAGAGCCGCGTTAAGGGGCGCGAAGGAGAAGACATCATCACGTTCCCTGCAAAGGTGCCGTGCGTGAGCAACGTGACTGCACGGCCATTCGAGAGCAGGGCGGAAGTTAAGGACCATTTGGCACGGCAGTGTCTCGAGACGGTGCAGTGGTGGGACAGTATTAAGTACCTCGACCAGGAGGAGAAGGTGAGACGGTGGATCGGCATCGGGCCGGGCAAGGTCGGGCGGAATCTGGTCGGCAAGGAGGTGGGAATGAGGGGCAAGGACTCGGTCAAGGGCGGCGGCGTCTGGGGCATCACAGACCCGAGCGAAATCGAGGAGATGCTTAGGGGATTGGAGGAAACGGAAAGGTTGTCGGAGGAGGAGAATGAGTGAGGGGGGTGACCATGCTACCCAGGAGCTATAGATGTATTTCCGTGCGTGTTCTTGAGACTTTTGCGAGGCGCTTTCTGTTTCTTGCTATACTGGGCTCACGAGCTCTGCAGACGGTCTGGCTTCGATGCTTGTGAAATGGAAGCTGGAGTATTGGTTAGGTGTATGTGTAACTACTTGTTATCTGGAGGGACGATTCGTACAAAATATACTACTGAACACAGGAGCCACACATTCCGATTTCGTCCAACATGGGATATTTTCTGTCCTCCAACAGATTACCAGGAAGTCACGTTCAGAGGATCTCATCGGTTGTAGATTGCTCTGCTTAGCTAGTTGGTCGTTTCGTTGAACCCTGATTTCGATGCGGGGCAGTCGAGAGTGAAGCAAGGGGACCCAGAAAAGCAATTAAGCTCCCGCCCACATCAGCTACCTACGGAAAGGTACCTCTTACCCCAGCTCTCTTTCTCAACCTGCCACGAAACGAACGACATCTGGTCGACCTCGAAATAATTAACTATCTACTCTACGATCGCGCCGCCTCTGCCTCCACCGCGAGCCCAGCAATTAGACAAGCCACGCCCCTGGGTGACGAACTCACGCACACAAAAGGCGCACAAATGGCGGCCACGATCCCTTCGATAGCCTGCATAGGCATCATTGGCCGAAACGTACGTCCCTCGTCCTCTACCCTTCGCCGGCCTTGTGATGTCTACCTTTACCGTGCGCTCGGAAACTCAAGCTACATCCCCCCTCTCCCTGCCGTCTCTCCTGTGGTCTACATAAGCTAACCGACAACGTCGCAGAACAACCCCCTCAACATCCAAATCTTTCCGTCCCACAACCCCGCGACAAACACGTTCGCGCCGATCCGCACGCCCCTGCAGTTCTCCCTCCTCCTCTCCTCGACCCTCGACGTCTTCGAGCTCCGCCACGGCAACGGCACCTCGGGCAACGGCGGAGGAGCTGCCGTGGGTTCCAGCGGCACCGGCCTCTCGGGCGAGGTCGGCCTCCTGCACGCCGTCGACGAGCGCCTCGCGGCGTACGGGTGGGAGACCAACACGGGCGTCAAGATCGTCGTCGTCGTGGATATGCGCGGGCGTCGGGTTGCGGGTGCCGGGAGCGCGGCGGCAGAGGCGGCGGCCAAGGGGCGGGGCGCCGTCGGGCTGCGGGAGCAGGAGCTGCGGGTCGTGTTCCGGGCGGTGCAGAACGCGTACGTCCGGCTGCTGCAGAACCCCTTCTACGAGCCGGACGAACACGCCCCCGTGTCCGGCCGCGGCGGGCGCGTGATCAAGAGCAAGAAGTTCGAGGGGGAGGTGCGGAGGATCGGGGAGACGTGGACGCCCGGTGTCACGAGTCTTTAGGCAAAAGGGGGTTTCGGGGGGGGAGGGGAACAGTGGTCTGTCTGTCTTGAGCATTTCTGGAGTTCTGGGCGTTTGAAAGAGATTAGACGGGACGGAGGGAGGGTCGTGATTCGTTATGTCCATCGTGGCTTTTCTATCATGGCCAGAGAAGACTGGCTCTATAAAGGTATCTACCATGCAAAGACTCAAAGGTCTTGACGACGTCATCTCGTATGACGTTATGTTCAGATGTTCCAGCACGCCAAAATGCTATGCTATACGCCGTGATATGCGTCTATGACCGAAAATTTGACAAAATCCAACGTGACAGAGACGTAAAAAAGAAAAAGAAAAAAAGAAAAACCATCTAACTCCAATGGGTAGCTCTTGGCAGCTGCCGGTCGGTGAGCGAATCCAACACCCTCTTAGACAAACGCTTTCGGGCTCATGAAGTCGATGGCTTCCAATGACCTCAATCTTCGCCTTCTCGGTCTCCTCCTCCAGCGGCCTCATCCCCCCTGAGATGATTTCTCGCGCCGCTGCTCTGCCTCCTCCAGAGCTTGCCATCTCTCGATAACAAGCTTGTCCGTCCCGAACGGCTCGTCAACAGGCCTAGATGGGCCCATCGAGGCATCGGTCTGTTGTCGCGGCAGCAGGGGCTCGTCCTTCTTCGGCCTCGACGGCGCCGAATCTTCCCAATGCCGTGCAGTGCGCGGAACGGGCGTCCACCACTCGGAAGGCTCGTCTCCCACCCCTCGGGAGTGCCACGCGGCGCTGCACAGCTCCCACAGCCGGCTCGCGGCGCGGCGGTACGCGAAGCGCTCGTCCTCACCGATGAAGCCGGCCGTGTTGCTGAAGTTGGGGCTGGATGCCCCCGTGGCACTGCTGACGTTTCCGAGGCGGCCAAAATCCGAGTCCTGGTCTGGGTCGTATTTGGAGGTCGGCAGGTCGGTGTCGTAGTAGGAGATGTTGGGGCGGAAGGGCGCTGCTTGGTCTTGGTACACTTCGGCGATGGTCTCGGAGTGGATCGCGTCCGAGTCTATGACTTCCTCTCCGGACTCAAGCCTGGAGGCGGCGGCCGTGGCGGCGGCGAGCTCCGCCTCGGCCTGAGCGGCACGGATGTCCGGGAAGAAGAGATCATCAGGCCCGGTTTCGGCGCGGACGAAGAGCTTACCACGGGCCTCGTAGAGGGCGTCGAGAAGGGTGATAAAGCGGCGGGCCTCGTTCTTGTGTAGCGTCGTCATGGTTGGAACGTTGTCGACGATGAAGGTGTGATAGGTGGAGGCCATGGTCACGTAGTCGGCCGGACCAAAGGTCCCGACGAGGTCATTAAAGTCCCAGTAAACGACACCGTCGCGCTGGCGTGGGATTGCAATCGTACGGCCGTAGACTGTGAGGGTTGCTGATGTCCACGGTTTGGAAATGAGGTCCGATAGCTCTGATGTCCAGGCAGACGTTTCGGGTGTTAAGAAGTACTTGGCGGGTTTGGTTGTTTCTGGTAGCGTTAGGATGCAATGCTATTTAAGAAGACTCTCTGAGAGACAAGCTCAACTTACCTCCTTGGGCCCCATCTGGCTTTTCTGCAAGTCCAGTTCCCTCAAAGGACGCTACCTCGATTGCTACATTCTCTCCGTTTTCACGACGCCGCCAGTCAATGGCCCCTTCCATATGCCAAAAGTCGCAGCGGGCTTTAAGAACTTCGACGAAAGCAGCAAAGTCGTTTTGGCTATGGAGAGTGCCTCGCGATCGAGCTCCGCCAAGGAAAAGACTCTTGAGGAAGCCGTCGGTGGGAGCGACGGTATACTCAACGCCAATGGCCTTCTGAAGCTCCTCGGGCATTCGGTTGGAAGAAGCGATGAGAACACCTCCTAGGTGGAAGAAGGCTATGAAGAGGTGACTGAGGATCTTGCTTGCCGCGCGGTCGGGTAACTGAAACTCATCCAGGAATAGGATTGGAGACTCTTCGACCAGCTTTTTGGCGAACCAGAGCATGGAGTACTCCTTCTCGTTGCCGCTTAACTCGGGATGAGACCGGCGGAAGCGTTCGAGCTGTGAGAAAGTGTACAGCATGAAAGTGTTGAAGTGCCATCGCTTCTTCTTCTCCGTCGGCAGACCCTGTGCCAACAAATCGATCAACATGGACTTTCCCACACCCACCTCACCCGACAGAAACAACCCCCTCGGCGAGTTGATGCTGATGGCGCCCTCGAGGCTCGTCATAACGCGAACGAGAGCCATGGGGTTTTGGTCTTTCGGCGTCGGCCTCGCCTTGCGGGCGAGGTGCTTGAACAGCGGGTTGTCCCAGATGGGATGGCTCGGCATGGCCAGCGTTGCAGCGGCCTCTTCCGGGTCGCGGGTCTCGGGTATCTCGGCGACCTGCTTAAGACGCTCGCTGTAGTCGACCTCGGGGGCGTAATCCTTGAGGCGACTGTAGAGCTTGTGCAGGTGGATCGCGAGTCGGTGCTGGTCTGGGTCCGGGGAGAGGATGTTGGATGAGACGAGGGTGCGGTATTTGACAAGAGGGTCGGTGATGGTCATGGCGGTTGAGTAGTACCGCACGAGAGAAGCCATCTTTCTCGCCTTTGCTGTCCGTACTGTGTAGCTCATCATCGTGTCTAGAGTTCATCGATAAATCCTTGTCATAAGACCGCTGTGAACTCAATCCGACACGGTATGAAGACCGAATCCACCTTGAGAAAAGCTATGCAGTTGTCTTCGAGATGTGAATCTCAATGACACAGATCCTATGCAACTCAGGCATAAACAGACACCTCTTGTGAGGCGATTGCTGGTGGTGAGGCTGATGTGTCACAACTGCCGTCGCGAAGCAAGATCGACTGAGTTGAGCCCGAATTATGCATAAAACGATTCTTAAGCTTGCGCTTTCAGCCCAGCTGGGTTGCTCACGTCGTTTCTCCAATGCAGTCGACAAGGCAGTCGGGTCCCATTCAATCCGAGTCGAGAAGAGAGATGCATGGGACAGTCTAAGTCAGTTCAATGACAGTCGTTGAAGAATCGAGTCTATTGGTTGTCCAGGCTCATTAAGTCACGCAGCCTATCACTGCTCTTGTGTCTCTGAAGACGTTTCCGGGTCAGAGGGTCAAAGAACCGGAGAACATGAGTGAATCGAAGCGGATGGTGCCTGACTCGCAGTCGAATGAAAGCCGATTGGCTGGTTGACTCTGAAAAGCTGTGGTTCTCTGGAGGATGGATCTACCAAAGAGATGAGAAGAAACGCATGTCACGGCGGGAAACGGCTCAGGGAGAGTGAGAGCTGTTGGGTGGTTAGTGGATATTTCTCATTGCATCTAGACATCGGAATCTCTTTCCATGTTCCCACCGGTGAGTTCCCGAGGGCCGAGTGACGAGTGACGTTGTTGACTTGGTTGTTTAGGTACCTAGGCTCCACTTTCAGGGTCCTATTTTCTTCCAATGCGGCGATTCAGCGGGCTCCATCTCGATCGTGGAGTCAGCCAATCAATGCTCTTTTCTTGTCGGCCGGGAGCAACGAAACGCCCAAAAGCAGGTACGTACCGTCTCCCAGGTACCCTCGTGCTATTGCTGCTATTTGCGCCGCCTCAGCTGGCACGCCTGCACACCCGCACACCTGCCCTGACCTGCTGCTCACCGGCGGCCTGTGGGCACTGACATACGCTGCTAGTGGACGAGCAGCCGGACAGGAAGCTGCTGGTGTTGCTGGTCCGTGCTTGGCAGATGCAGCAACCTAGTGTTTTTTTCTACGAGACCCAATCGATTGATGCTTCGTCACTCTCACATATTTGCTAAATCCGCTCTACCACCTTCGTCCACACTCCCCCCGGCCTCCGCTTTCCCTACCAGTACCTTAGGCCACAGAATCCATCCTCGAAATGTTTTTCTGACCGACATCCACCTATCCACGAACATCATCACCATCACGGCGACCGATCATTTTCCCCTCAACAACTTCGCGCCCGGTCGCTCGACACCATGTTTTCTCCCTCCATGAACGAGGGTGGGCCGGCCACAGCTACGCGAAGCAGAAGAAGACAGCGACCTGCCAGCCATGAGAGTGTCACACAACAACCCAAGGCGAAACGCCAACGCGTTCCCTTGACCGAGCAGACCTTTGTTAATCCCGAGGTGTCCGCGCCTACGGGCCCCGAGATGTACGAGGTAAAGTCCGACAAAGTTGCGACACTCGACGTGCGACAAGACGGCATCGAGAACCAGAACCCCATCACGCCCACCCCGAGGAAAGAACTCAGTGTGCGCGCGAAAAAGCCCAAGGGAGGAGACAGGCCAACCAAGGGCGATGGAAGCGTCATTCTGGTAGGTTCAAATGCGTCCGCGTTATCCCCCTTCAACCAAGCTGACCATCATCCGCCAGACGACGAACAACGCTTACACCGTGAGCAAATTGCCTGCGCTGCCAGACCGTATCCGCGCAGATACTTCAGGTGAGTACTTGCTGCTCAATGCGCGCTTTCTATGGCTAACAATCACGTCAAGCTCAACAACACGGCGACATTTTCTCGAACCGCTATGCCCTCAGTCTCAGCCATACTCACGCGATTGTTTGGCCGTACACGGACCCCTCTCAATCCCCTGAGACATTCACCTTTACACTTCCGTATCCCTCGAAACATTCTTCAGAGCCTCTTCCGCTGGGTTGCTTAGTGTCGCCATCAGCTTCGTCGACCGAACCCGGTCTGGTTGTTGTCATGCCCGTCAGTGGTAAGATAGCGTACTGGGAATCCATCACGAGCGCCGCGACGTTGGACTTCATCCGCCAGCAGCGACATGGCGTGGAGGGCTCAATATCGGGCATGTACTCCGGCGAGAAGGTTATTCAGATCACCAACGCCGAATCCGCCGGCTTCGTCCTGGCCTTTAGCAGCGGCCGACTGGCCTACATGAGCGTCCGAGATGGCCACGGCAGACCCACGATTTCCGTCCAGTTCCTCCGCACGAGCTTAGGGTCTACGGCCGGTGGTATATTCGGCAGCATCCGCCATGCTTTGACCCAAACTTCAGGACGCGGAGACATCGCCGCTGTTCGAGCGGAGCGCACTTCTCGGGTCGGCGAACGAAACGTCGTCGCTGCTACCCTCAGGGGCAGGCTCCATGCCTGGAAGATTCATCGTGGAGGACACCACGAGACCATTGTGGAGGCAGACATGCAAGAAGAAATCGTCGAGGCCATCCGTCAAGTTGACCCTTTGGCAGCGACCGACTTCCACCCCGAAACCTTCGAAGTTGTTGACTTCGCCTTCGTGCCCAAAGGCTTGGAAGATAAGTACCGAGATATGAGCAGGCTCAGCGACGCCATGGCCTCAACCGACGTCAACTTGCAACACCTACTGTTGCTCGTCAGTCTCAGCAAAAAGAAAGAATCGCATTACTCTCTGGTCGAAGTTATTCTGTCGCCGACCTCCGTACAAATCGGCATGGTCCGTCCGATCTCCTCGTACAAGACGCGCTTCAGCCCCACGAATCCAGTACAATCTTCTCGGCCTCGTCTGCATCTTCCTCGACCGGCCCTTGTGGCGTTTCTCATATTCGATAAAGCCGTTGTCTTGGCATCTATTGGTGTTCCTCCGGATTCGCCAGATGTTCAACTCCAGGAGGACAACCATATCATTCCTCCGACTTATGAGGATGTGATTAACTTTTCCGACAATAACCAGTCCGATATTTTCGGCTCGGGATTTGAAGAGCCGCAGGCAGCTAACAGCAGCCACGACGAGTCCAGAACTCGTCAAAAGACGAAGAACCCCGCAGTCGTTTTGATGGTCCGTGGTACGGGCATTGTACGACTTACAACGACAGACATAGATCGATTTGGCAGTGACAGGCCCCCGAAAGTCACACCAAAGAGCAAGCTTGAACAGGCTGTCTTCTTTGGCAATAAGCAAGACACTCCTCTGATTTTCGACGTTAGGAAAGGTGTTCAGTTCTCAGACGGGGAAATGGCAGAAGCCGCACTGGAGCTTAGCCAAGAAATCATGAGCTCCTCGACAACGCACATCTCCTCGCTGCCGGCATCTTTGGAAGACAATCTCAGCACCCGTTGTCTTGCTCTTGAACGGTTGATGCTACATCTCAAGACAACCAAGGTCAACCTGGACCGGCGTACCCGGTGGCTGTTGCTTTCCCATGCCGAGAAGATGATGGTTTCGACGGTTCTTTGGAAACGCCATGAGGCCTTTACGAATGAACGGCCTGCCAATGACAAGAAGGATCTGATTGCGGAGATCGTCGAGTTCATCCACCAGGACGAAAAGACCAACCCTAACCGTAGCGCGGGAGAGGTCGACCGTGTGAGGCACTGGTTCATTCACGACGTTGGCAGGCTCGAGATCTTCATTGCCTGGGCCTACGAAGTGATCAAGTACATCTACAAGGACCATATCATGGACGATGTTCACATTACCCGTCTCATGTATGAGGCTCAGCAGGTGAACCTTGTCGCTCTCATGACGGCTCTGGAATACCGGCAAAAGAGACTTGCATTCTACGGACTAGAGGACGAGGAGCTTGATTTCGGCATTGTACGCGAGAACTACGAAGATCTCCCCGAGCCATGGACCGGGTGCCACTACATCGGCAACAATCTGAAGCGTCTCCTTGAGCTTTGCCACACATGGCTCGACCAATACTATCCTCCGAAGGAAAAGACAAAGGACAAATCGAAACAGCCGGACCCCGTACTTCTCGAGAAGATCAATTCGGAGGTCTCCAATCTCACCGACCTGTACCTTGTATCGCTTCTCGAGGCATCTCGCTGGAACGCCGCACAGCAGGATACGAAGGCCCAGAAGTGGTCGGACCATCTCGCAAAGCTCTACGATGCGGACCGCAACGACAAGGTTCTTGCCCTTCTCCGCCTAGGTAAATGGGACGAGAGCATTGTCATTGCTGAGAAACACCGATGCTGGAAGGCACTGGCTCTGGCCATGATTGAACAGATCAACAGCCTCAGGAGCGAAGCGACAGTGTCAAGATCGCAAGCCGATGCTCGCGAACTCACCAAAAAGGCCGAAGCCAAGGAGAAGCGGATTGGCGAATACTTTGACAAGTATGGCGAGGCTTTTGCCTTCCCCACATACGACATTCTGCTGGACAATGCCGGCGTTCAAGCCGTTCTGGATTTCCAATACGACAACCACGGATTCAGGACAAAGTTCCTCCGACAAAAGCCTGAGCTGGCCAAGATTTCCTGGATCAACGACATACAAGGCGAGGACGACATGGACCACGCAGCAGAGACGCTTCTTGACCTTGGCCTCACCCGGGAGCAGCAGGTTTGGAACAAGAAGATTGAGCTCAGCCTTGGAAAGCTTTCACTCATGGCCGATTTGCAAACGCCTCCCTCCTCCGATCTCTTCGGGTTCAAGCCCGCTAAGACTGAGACCGAGGGACTCTCTGAGTCTGAGGATAAGATTGAAGCCATCGACAGCCAGCTGGGCCTCATCAGAATTCAAGATGAGCTTTATGCTCAGGTCTTCCCATCTGTCCAAACGGCTGTGGACGAAGGCGCAGAGCTGCAACTGGCCATGGAAAACCACTGCCTGTACATCCCAAAGAAG